TGCTGAACTGACGACGAAACATAGGCAGCTAACAAGCAGCAATGGAGTTAAGGTTACTGGCATCATTTAATGACGAGCTTAATATAGCCCAACTAAATAAATGAGATGTTACAGGTGCATACATACCTTTATCTTTTGAGCGTTTCTCTTCTTCTTCTTCTTTCCTTTTCTTTCTAAACTGGGCACCTGATGCCTTGTGCATTTTTTTCTCCATCACCGTAGGTATTAATGTTCGACCCGAGAATCAATGCATAGCGTACCCCTCCCCCAACACTGTCAACTGCAGGTCAAGACTATACAAATTTGCCGTAATCAGTTTTTAAATAATTCTTTGTTTCATACAACCCAGGCCAGGAAAAAGTATATATCAGCAAAACTATTAGTATTGTATGAATGAATTTGGTGACATTTTGAGGAGTGAGATTAATTTGACTAATTGCGGTACTACTTTCTGAACATCAAAAGGATTTATTTGATAGAGATAGTTTACCCGCCGCCCCCCTCTCTCTCCCCTGTAGTGAGGCGACCTAAGATCACCCCCGCCCTTCTTCGAGAGACCTTCCATCCAAGCTGAGATGCCTGCTGTGTCATAAGGGCGGCCTCGCCCCCTTCGACCCACAACAACAATACACTATAAGAAATGTTGTGCAAATTGGCAAAAAAGATGTATTGCGCTTGTGCCGCCCCCAGTCAAAGTGCTGCAAGCAATTACAGCCAAATATGTTCCATGTCTTACACTTAACAAACACATAGGTTAGTCTTAATCCTCGTAAGCTTTTCTCTTTGTCAATCAAGACAAGTCTGCATTATTTAGGAAGTTGTCCAGCCGAAGTTAAGGTCTATCAAAATACTTAAGTGTCAGGGAATACAGACCTTGGATTCTGGAGAAATGATAAAAAACCAACTGCTTTTCGGGCCAGAAGGTGTCTTAGTAAACAAACTGCCACCTATCTGTCCGAAACAACAATAAAGTATTGACTGACGTAAAATGGTAGGTGTCACTCCTGCTTGTTGACCAATTCAATTGCATGAGGCCATTTTCCCAGCAACATTCACTGATCATTTTGCCAAGTAGAGATATTGTAGAGATTGTTGGGCAGCGGTGTCACTAGACTGGATAGTGTGTGGCACTTACTTACTCTTTATTTATTTTAGCTTAGGTCTGCTCTGGCTGGCAGGTTAAACTGAATAGAAGCTGGCAGGAACAAGAGACAGGTTATGTTTCCAATTGAGGCCTTCAGCATCTCTGTTTCTGTGGTGTTGGAGAAGCTGATGTTAGTAAATCGATGGCAGCTGTCGATAAAAGAGAATCGAGAAATATGCCAGGAGCACACAAGTTGTTGTTTTCTTCCTGCAGGACAGGATGCCCACAGAGTTTGTTTGTGCAGGAATGTGCACTCTACCTAGTTTGCAGTCTCCGAGCTCTTCTGTTTCCCCTGGGCTCCACATCGGTTTGGCTTGATTGATATTCTGATGGCACAATGTGAGTAATTGCCTATTCAGAACAGCTTCAGGCGAGATGTACCCTTAAAATAGCAAAGCATATTAAATATTCTGTCCTCACAGGTAGGAAACTTTACCAGACCCAACATATCTGCGAGGATTCTGATTGCATAGTTGGGTGTTTGGAGTCCTCTCCTGTATGGTGTCCCTCTGATAAGAATATGTCCTCTCTTCCTGCCTGGGGATGAGATGTTGATGCCAAATTAGGAACTTAAATTGTCCGGGAGAACAAACTAGTTTGCAAGCTAAGGACTAAAGATACATGTATTCATAGGGTGATCTTCATAATACTCAGACAATTTCCATAATTTAAACTAATTATCCATAATTTAACCAGTTTGTAAGATATATTTCATAATTGGAAGGTCAAGTGTTATCAAGGGACATAGTTATATAGGTTTTGAGGTTTAGTTTTTGAGCACTTCTGTAAATATGCTTGTGATTAATGATTAGTATGATAAATATGAAGCTTTTGCTAGCAGTTTGTTAGCTTAGCGTAAAGACCGGAAAACAATAGGAAAAGTTGAACATTTTAGAAAGAACAGTATATTATACTATGTCGAAAATATGAAATAAATATTAAGTATTAAAAAATGATGAGGAAAAACTGGCATAGTATAGTATGTAGACATTTCAGAACAACTACATAGTATAGTATGTCAAAATCATGAGAACAAATATGAGATATCAGGGCTCTGACCTCCTCTCTGTAGCTGTTTCGTCGCCGTCGGGGATCAGTATAGTTTGTCAGAATGATGATAAAAAACAACATAGTATTGTTACGCCCAGATCTAGGGGAACCTAGGCGCAGCATAAAATGTGCACTCTCTCCTCTTTTCCCACTCCCAAGAACATGGACGCCAAGACAGAGAAAGCGTTTGGTAAATTTAATTACCCAAAATATACACACACAGGAGTAACAAAACCACAAAACAAAGAAACCTTCTAACACAAAAATCTTACCTAGCGAATGAGAAAAATAAATGTACAGGCTTCTTACCTACTCTAACATTAAACAGGAGAAAATGAATTAACCAAAGAAAAATGGTTTTGCACTCCTGAGTAAAAAATACAGCGTGCCTGCAACGACAGTTAATGTGGCTTACTTTCTGAAGTCTCCCCGCAAGGAGACACGGTCAAAGTGCGAACACGCACGCACGCACGCACGCACGCACGCACGCACACACACACACACACACACACACACACACACACACACACACACACACACACACACACACACACACAGGAGGAGGGAAAGATCTCTACACACAATACACATAACGACCAGGGTCGTAACAGTATAGTTTGTTGAAAACATGAGAAAAAGACATAGTATAGTATGTCAACATTTTATAAAAAACATACAGTATAGTATGTTGTAAGTTCAGAAAAAAATTCATCGTACAGTATGTCGAAAAATGTATGACATATTTATGACATTTTTTTTGGCATGCTATACTCTTACTTATTTTTTTGGTAAATACAAGAAAAGTATACTTTCCCTTATGCATGATGCACCAAACTATAACATTGTTAAGTGTACAGATTTACATAAGTAACCTATTATGGTATAAATTATTCTATTTGAGAAAAAAAAATCGTACTTATTTGTTTAAGGTCCAGGGCAATACAGTACATGAATGGCAGCACACCATCTCTATTAGTAAAACGTGTTCTCAATATGACAAAGTAAGTCAGAGAAAATGTAACTGCATATAATGGAGCCAATTTGGAATCATTGTGCAGTACACACGTGATTAACACAAGGCAAAAAGTGGAATGCATATGAACATCAAAGCTTTCGTAGATTAATGCACTTTTACACACATGATACAAACCATGCTGCTTAATTTCCATTAACAGTTAATACTGTCACACTCCTATCGCACATCTCACACGTGCAGCTGTTCTATTCAATATGCACATGTATTGGAAATTCCGAAAATCCAATTACAATATGAGCAGAGGTCAGGAGAGGGAACATGCACATAATGTACTAATATAATGGGCATGAATATGCTCAATCACACCCGGGCTTTAAAAACATGTTTCACGTTCTTAGGTCATTAAGTCAATTGCTCCAAAGAGACTCCGCGCATATGGTTACCTCATGTAATGTGGGAGTTTGATACACATACAACAGATATTGAGGGAGTATAGCTTTACTGAATAATCTATCCTTGTCTTTTGAGTTTTTCTGACTCTAAAGCGTCACCCTGTCTTTCTCCCATCCATCCCAAATCAATGAGTTCTACGTATAGGTTGAGATCTGAGCTTGAAGAAAAACAAAGGGAATGGAATAAGAATATACTTTCTTAAAAAAAAGAGAGTGAGGAATCATACTCTATAAAAAAAAAACAGTGGACACGCATATATAAATATAAAAATGCTGGAGGAGTTATTTTTCGAGTTCTTATCTGCTCCTCCACACTCTCCTTATGCTTTATATCTCCTCCCTCTTTATTTACGCTGATCTTTTTTGTGAAATCCACAGTAATTTCTCCGGGGATTCCTGTGAGGCCTCTGCTCTAATGCCCATCTGGAACAACAGGCATTAATAACTTGCCCTGGGACTGAGTAATGGTACTGAACACACCACTAAGATGGATGGAGGGTCTATTGGGTCTTCTGGGTCCCTCATTAGTAAGCAGAGGTTTCCTGGGTACAACAGTAAAGTAGGAAGTGTGTGTAAAGAAAATAAAGATATTGAATGTTTGGAGAGGAGGGGGAAAAAGTTCAGCAGTGTTTTGAATTTCTAACCGGCTGTTCTTCCCTTAGTAAGTTGTATTGACCCAAAGACCTTTTTCAGCATAAGGACTCCAGCCGTATAATTATAAACAAACGAGTGTGTGATGTGTTCATTTAGGTCTTAACATGTCGGAATCAATGCATGAACTATGAACCATAGTGTTGTTTTAATATGAATTAATGGATGTGTCTGATGATCAATACGGTCAACACATGCAAGGTCTGAGCTCTTTCTCTCACGGGGCTCATGGCCTCGCAATGGTGGAACGTCGATGATCACAAACACAAACAGCATCTTTGATTCACATTGATCCGTCACACGGGGAGGACAACTAGGGGAGAGTGGGGTAAGTTGAGCCATTTTTTTGTTATGCTGTCCTCTAAGCAAGGAGAAATGACACATATTACAAATGAAAACACACACCTATAATTCAGGATGTCTCCTATCAATTGCAATGATAATAATTAATATTGGATCAAGGGAAGTGAAAATATTACTTCTAAAAAAAAAGTGGTCTTGTGGCTCAACTTGCCCCAGTTGATCCAGGTCAGGGGGTAAATTGAAACACTGTTCAAACCTGGGCATACCTACAACAAATCTTAAAGGTAAATATAAACAATACATTTCAAACCAATTATAAGCTTAGTTTTTCAAATATTTTTAATATAAAATTTCGATTGAATTGATTGATTTTTTTTTAACATGTTTAAAGGAAAAGTAATCAATCAGCCAACTCCATCTATACATGTCCAACCATGAGCTCTCTGAGCCCTTCCAATCCGGCTTCAGACAGCAACACAGCACTGAGACCGCCCTCATCAAGATCACCAACGATCTCCTCATTGCTGCTGACTCTGGCCGCCTCAGCATCGTCATCCTCCTAGACCTCTCTGTAGCGTTTGACACCATCTCTCACAACATCCTCCTCACCCACCACTCAGACCTCCTAGGTATCACTGGCACAGCGCTGTCTTGGTTCACATCCTACCTCCATAACAGGAAACAGTTTGTCTCCATCAATGGCTCTAATTCACCCCCGGCCCCAGTCCACCACGGTGTACCCCAGGGCTCTGTGCTTGGCCCCTCCTGTTCACCATTTGCATGCTCCCCCTCGGCCAGATCATCCGACATCATGGACTCAATTTCCACTGTTACGCTGATGATACCCAACTGTATCTCAGCACCACTCCATCCTCCCAGCTCCCCCCTCAGTCTCTCATCAACTGCCTGCATGAAATCAAAACATGGATGTCTTCCAACTACCTTAAGCTGAACAGCAATAAAACAGAGCTCATGGTTGTGGCACTCCAAAAGGTTGGTGACTTCATCCTCAAGGTCGACGGCTGCTCCATCTCCCCAACACCCGAAGCCCGCAACCTGGGTATCATCCTCGACTCCATCCTTTCCTTCCACTCCCACGTCAAATTTGTGACCAAATCGGCCTTTTACCACCTAAGGAACATTGCCAGACTCCGACCGTCACTCT